TGTCTCCTGAGTGAATCTCAGCTAGCTGAGGTCTCAACCAGCACATTGGACAGGTCTATCAAGGGTCCTTTGGTTGAGCCGTTCTTCAAGGGGTTACTGCTCATTAGAAGATAAAACACCTGTTCGATTTGTGATCCAAATCGCTACCATACCAGCATTTGCCAAACATTCCAGATCGACACTTTCTAAAGGCGATTCACCCTGCTTGTTTCTGCGTGCCGCCGCAACGTGGATCTCATGAACGACCTCCTAGCTAAGGGGTCTTGGAAGTTCAATGAGCTAGCTTATTTTTGCCATGGATCGTATGAAAATCAAGAGCAACTGAACCTTCCCCCTTTTCCTCAACCTAGCTTCTTGCTCTCGCGATAGCTTATAGAGGTCGCTATGGAAATCAAGAGCAACTGAACCTTCCCCCTTTTCCACAAGGTAGGCTTCTTGGGAGCGATAGCCCTCATAGAGGCGCGATCTGTTTCTATATCTGGTCTTATTGTCAGTGTTTTGTTTTCATTGTAGAGTAAAGAGAACTATTTTCTTCTGCAAAGGCGCTCAACGATGAACTATTTTCTTCTACGAGGGCGGTCAGCGATGCTTCTTCCATTGCAGATTCAGTCCGTAAACCTCCCCAAGGTAAAATCGGTGTCTGAGCGGCACCCTTGATTGCCAATTGCGTGTGAAAGCGAAGTCGAGCGAAAAACCGTCTTGCTCCCAAATGTACTGGTTCACTGTAATCGGCCCGACTGTACAAACTGAATCCTAATTTGCCCTTCGAAATTCTAGGAGATTTTCATTAGTGCAAGGCTGCTGAGTCGACTCAATAATCAATGTGCTTCTTCTAGGTGTGGAAAAGGAACTCGAAGCCTTTTTCCGACGGTGGAGGGTGACACAGCTTGCCACTTTCTTCTTGGTTGAAGGTTCGTTCCTTGTAACTTGTTGAAGTAGTGTATACATATTCGTAATTCATACCAAAGTTAAGGCCTGCTCCACATGCATCGTTTTTCTCACGTACTGCCTCCGATTTATATTAGCAGTCATTCCACCTATCTGTGCGCATACTGCGCCCTCTCAATGTATCAGGTTCATGTGGAGGGCTGGGACACTTGTTCACAAGTGCTGACATCAGTTAAGTACAGACTCGTAAAACTTGGGGACGGCTTTATACTCCGCCCGCACAATCCATGGTAATCGCAATGCAATTATCGCAATGCAGGTGCAGCATTTGCGCAGATTACAAGGTCCCGCAACAGAACACATTCAGCTCAGAGAACAACCACAACTAAGAGGGCGGAGACTGTAGCGCATTTGGCTATGGCTGGAGTCAGCACAGGGGTATCACTACCCTCCAGCCTCATTCCCGTGCAGTTTTGATCGAAAAAAGGCGTTCTACTGCGTGTGCAGTTTATCTCTGAGTGGGCCACGCGGCAGACTATCCGCTCTCCTCCCCTTAATCAAAACCTAGATATGAGGTGCAGAGATGGCGCAGATGGATAGTGAATAAGTGCTGCTAAAGCGTTCCAAGGTAGGAAGTAGGATGCGGTGAGTATTCCCAATGTGAGGAGATTCCGGAATGGGTGAGCTACTCGGCATTGATGTCTCGTTTTATCGTGTTAGAGTACGTTTATACTTCACCATCTGACGCTCGGATCACGCGAAATTAGCGATCGGCGCCAATCGTGTTCAGTCAGAGCGGCTAAATAGCCAAGTACGCTTTCCAAATACACAGTTGTCATAGGAGCTTATGCACACTAGAAAGCGTGGGGGGGGGCAGAAAACTGAGTGGCTCGCAGCAATTCTGCTCGTCGGCTCCTCGGCTAGATATACCGGCTGGGTCATATTGGTGGTAGCGTAGCCTGACTGTTGGGGTAACAACTTTCAGCAGATCCCACCTCTACCGACCGACACTTTACAACCAAAATTACCTGAACATAATAGAAAAATTACAGGATAAGGTCTTGGTTACCCCTTTCATACGCTGAATTCGTAACGCATTCCAAGGGCACAGGCTGGAATCGCTGGCGATCTCTCCTTCACGTCTATGGCTCGGATGTATCTTTGCACTGATTTAGGTGACGCTCGAAGGAGAACCTGTCTGCTCTTTCAACAGTAATCATAAGCTGCCATATGAAAGGGTGGTATTTGCTTCTCGGGGCGACTGTTCAGCTCGATACTCAGCCATCTCTGCCGCAGACGGAAAAGTTTTTGCGAGGTGATTGATCCATTTATGTGAAATGAGATGTCGTTTTCTGAAGACAGGTGGCGCTCATTTATCTCTTAATCTCTCTACTGAACATCCTTTTCAGTGTGCCGATGTCGGTACCTTCACGAAAACCGCCGATATTGCCGCTTAATACAGCAATACGGAGTGGTGCCAAAAAGGTTGGTGCTTGTGATCCTTCCCCAAGTTGACCGTATTGTATTTTTGGTCGCATTGCAGATGCTTGGAACTCTTCGCTCGTTCCCTCATGCCATATACGGTGTCAGTTGGTTACGAGGCACTATTGCTGCAGTCCGAACTCTGTTTCATTTCCACGGATGAAGAAAGTGAGGCTTAGAAAAGTGAAAGCAACCTATGTAATCAGACTAGGCTTAATGCGCCAATCCCTCTTCGCTGTTCCTTGTCATGCAATGT